CTCAAAGAGACGTTAGACTTGTTTTTAAGACACTAGTAAATTTAGTTAATTTAGCTGTGTTATCTTTATTTGAGTTTCACACGTGCATTTTTTTTTTAAAACTTGTGTAGTTAAAGTAATGCTAGTGATGAGTGTAATCATGTGTTTTAACAGTTGTGGTTGGGTTAAACATTATGTTTGATGAATAATATGAGCGAGTAGCTGCCCCTGGGCTATTGTTTAAGAAGCCAGGTGGGCAGTAAGAGGTCATGTCTTAAGGACAGGGCACACTGGGCCTTGATAATGGCAGTGTGTGTGGATTAGAGTTTAGATCTAGTTGTGTTGGTTAGTGATGTCATAACGGCAGAGATGTTTGTTATGGACATTACGGGTACTCGTCTATAACAGACCGTGCAGGGCACATGATGGTTTGCGGTGTAGACGATGTGTAGACTGTAGAGTGTCAAAGATAATGGTTATTAGTGTTGTTGGGTTCATAATTTGATAGTAATAGTTGTATGGCTGTTCTACACTTAGTGATGGTGAGACAGTATTAGATAGTTAGCGGTCTACTCTTAGGGAAGTGTGATGACAGCACTAGATGAAGAGTTAGGTTTTGGATAGCATTAGGTGAATGATAGGCCTTCACTACATAATGCGTAGAAAAGCGTGGGATGGAAGCTATAACCTGCACTGGGTAATGTGTAGAGTAGCTTGAGATGGTCAGCTGTAGCCTACACTGGGTAATGTGTCGGACAGCATGTTTAGGTCAGCTATTTCCCACACTGGGTAATGTGTGGGGTAGCACAGTTGAATCAGCTATTTCCCACACTGGGTAATGTGTGGGGTAGCATGGGTAGGGCAGCTATGATTTGCACTATGTATGTGAGTTAGAAGTGGGTATCATTCAACCCGATCAGTGGATCATGGGATCAGAGAAGGAGATTAAGACTTAATGTATAAGTCTAATTGCTGGTATGATAGTAGTATAAGTTATCGTGTTAGACACACTTTGTTCTGAGATTGAGATAGTTTAATGAGAGATCAAAATGTTTGGATACGTATTTTGTTTAGTCTTTTAAGTTACAATGTTCATGTTGTTATGGTCAATTATTGATTTCGTTAATTACTATTGACATATGCATGATGTTGTGTGTTGCTATTTTTAATTTTGTTTGAAAAACTGAAGATGATGATAGATGACAATAGACTCGACGACGCACAGAGTAAGGGCTTGACGCATGGGATGGTGTGATGTGTAGAGTTGTAGGTTGGTCATTTGTGGAGTTTTTGAAATTTGTCAATATTTTGAAAAATTTCTTGAAGGGGGGGCATATGTCACAAATGACTGGGGCGGGGGTACAGGACAGAGCTCCATTGTTGTTTAGGTAACTTATAGGATGGAAGGAAACTGCTGTTAATGGGGTTAAGTTAAGGTTAATAGACTCTCACATCTTGATATAGTGGGGGATTGTTTCTTTGGATAATAGTATGTTCGGGTTTTCCAGACTTCGCATGATAATTTCTGGGTTAACAATGGGAAGGTCTAATTGACCGGAAATTAGAGGGCATGGGTGTGTTTATAGATAGCATTCCTGGACCACCTATGGGGGGTAGAGAACCACATATAAGAGGGAGCTTTCACTGAGTTAGGTTAGTTGAGGGAGAGTGAACAGAGGTACGACGAGTTGAGGAAGAGGGAAAGGAGCGACATTAGTTAGTTGAGGAAGATAGAGAAGAACTACGGATTAGTTGAGGAAGAGAGAGAAAAGAGCTACGATAGAACTGAGCAGTTGTTAGGGAATACTTGCTAGAGACCAGAAGACGACAGATGACTGGAAAAACGTATATCTTACCAATAAACACTTTCATTATCGTTGGACACCAGAAGTTTTGAGTTGTTGCATTTCGTCCAAGTCTACGTTGTGCTTTTGTCTGTCTCAACGCCTAGACACCCACAATATAAATCACAGAGAGGAGCGGTCCTGTACTGACCACTGCTAAGTCAACATAGTTTGTGTTAAGTCAGGACCGGAGCCCTCCTCCGTAACCACCGTTCTGTGACAGTGCGCGACTGAGTTTTACGGTAGGCCTACCTATAAATACCTGAGGCAATTTTGGCCTAAAATTAATGTTTTAAAAATTAAATGAATAAAGATTTTTCAAAATTAGAAAATTTTAGATTTTTAAAAAAATAATAATAATCGTGACGTCACAAATTTTTTTGCCCCCTCCCCCCTTCTCACAAAGTGTCACAAATTCTCGACCCCCTCTACCCTGAGCGTGACGTAATTTTCGAACGACCCCTAAGTTCCACCTTTCCGCTAAAGGGCTCTATTATTCCCAATGATACAGATAACCAGTGAACCAATACAGATAATCAGTGGACCAATACAGATAACCAGTGAACCAATACAGATTACCAGTGAACTAGGCAGAACTATTTTGAATGGCGGGGGCTTGGTTCCCTCTCCACCCCACCCCCTCCCCTCCTCCTTCTGTTCCCTAAAATTAATAAATAAGAACGATATGATTTTCATTATGTCAATTATTTTGATAAGAAGAAACAAAAAAAAAATTACTTTAACTTAAGCTTAGTTCGCGTTTTCATGAGTCTATTAGGAACATTCAAAACAAATGTACAAGTATAGGCATAGGCCAACGATTAATCATGATCCGTACGTAAATGTAGCGCCAAATGAAATACTCAAGCTTCATCAAAGTCAAAAACTCTTAGAATTTGTTCATTTCGCTTACTGCATGAGCGTTTTATTGTAATGGGGGCGGCCAATAATGAATCATAGCTTGAGTAAGCGCCCCCAAAGAGAGCGTGTGTGTTTTTAAAACAAATATAACTCACTTTGAGAAACACTGTAATACATCAAACATCCCCACCCCTTCCTCCCCCGTCCCCCGGCCCAGCCTTACCTTGTTCAACTGAATAATTGGAATAATATAATATGTCTAAACAGCTATTTAGTATATTTATTTAAGTATTCAACAATTTAGTTGAATTTAGTAAGTGACAGGCTTAATAATCATCCCCATGATTAAATTTCATTCTACCAAAACAAATTTTAACAATTAATACCAAATTTAATGTCATTTTTTAAATTGTTACCTACGTTTGAATGGGGTTTACACACGGAGCGGATTTTGGCCCTCGGTGGCACATTTCTTCGTTACGCCAGGTTTTAAAAAGTAAGGATCGCATGCGCAGGGACATTTGAGTTCAGCGTCCGTTCGTTCACCGGGATACGGCTAGAGCCAGCGACATTGGTGGAATAGTGACCGACCAGATCACACCAACTCTTCCTAGTCTCTTTATAATCGCGTTTCGAAAGAGAAAACTGTTAAGTATCAGCTACAATGGATATGCCATTAAATTTGCTCGTGTATCTTATCATCCCGACTCTTGTGTCGCTGTCATGGCTACGGTACCGGGGCATGGAATACATTCTCATTCATTATCGGTGGATTTTCGTGTGCTTATTCCTCCTGCCATTGTCGGTGATATATGATGCTTTTATGTACATAAGAGTAAAACTGGTGTTCGCCCTCAGTTCAGCACCCAAACAGCACGATAAACGCGTGAAACGTGTTCAGGAACAGGTTAGTTGGAAAGTTTCTTGAATCTTAGTTCATGGTTTGGCCGGTCTATTCAATCTATTCTATGACTACTCTGTACTGCCGTCACTTTACAAATCTGTTATATAATAGCCCAATGAATATTGTGATTGTGACGTCCTTGTCATTGTAATTGTAACATGCCGGTAGTAGGGCGGTAGTCCATATTTTTAGCTGGCTAGGCCTTACTAACTTATTTGAAATACTATTGGCAATTGGTATTGGGTCTCTGGTTGGAGGCCCCAATTACCCTAACACAAAACCTGCAGTCTCAAGGCCGAGGCTTAATAATTCAATCAATTGCATTCATTGAAAAATTAGCCTATAATATATAATTATTATATTTATAATAGTTGTTTATATTGACAATAGCCATGTTTAGTTTATATTAACAATGTTTATATAAACAACCAGGGAACTCATTTCAGCTTCAGTTTTTTCTTTTTTGTAGGACCGGGAGAGGTGGGGGAGGGGGGGGGAGCTTGTTGAGTTGTTAATTACTGGAGGCTTTCTATTACAATTTTTTTTACATATTTAACATTTAAGTTTAAATAAGTACTGCCAGATTTGTTTTAAGTTTATAACAATGTTTATATAAACAACCAGGGAACTCATTTCAGCTTCAGTTTTTTCTCTTTTGTAGGACCGGGAGAGGTGGGGGAGGGGGGGGGGAGCTTGTTGAGTTGTTAATTACTGGAGGCTTTCTATTACAATTTTTTTTACATATTTAACATTTAAGTTTAAATAAGTACTGCCAGATTTGTTTTAAGTTTTATGTTTTCTATTGTTAGTTTTAAATGAAGTGATATTTCTTCTTTTTTTTCCCTTTATTAATTATCTATTTTCTGCTACTGTTTGATTTAAATTTATAGGCCTTAAAAATTAAGTACATTAGATTTTTGCTGAAGTGCGAAGACCCAAAAAATCAGGTTTAATTGCTTATTTATTATTATTAGCATTTTTTTTATTGTCGGGATACAGAAAATATGTTTTGAAATCTAGAGGAGGACCGACGAAGATGCTGCAAAAAATAAAATGTTAAGGCTAAGAACCCCTGTACTTAACAGTAATTATATGAGTACATTTTGATATATGCATGACTAATGATTAAATGACTACTAATGTAGCATGACAGTAATCATGTTGTAATTTGTAGTTATTAGAATTAGGTATAGGCCTAATTGTACTATCATAAGAAATATAAAAATTATGCCCTTGCCTTGGCATACTTAACCAATTTTAGCTATTACTATTAATCATGAATAATATATTATAATCATACGAATAATTACCGATCTAATCATGTAGTTGGAATCATAGGCCCATAAAAGCTAGTTCTGACTTTTGATTAGATCAGTAGATCATTTTAGTGTATTTTAAAGTCTAAATGATTAATTGATAGAAAGTGTCACTTTACAACTTAATTCCAATTTAGTCAAATTTTAAACAGTTGGTCCTTCAGGTTCTGTGGAAAAAATAAAATAATTATCTTGTCAGTTATGCAGGCCAATTTATTTCTGGCTCATTTTAATAATTGATCTGTGTGCCAGAAAAATTAAGGAGATCATTGGGAATGGTGTCTATTCTAATTCTAGGCCTAGTCCAATGTTTCATTTTCAGCCATTTTTGACCTATGCCCTACTTAATGTAAACACCTGAAAAAGACTTGGCATAGTTTCAGAAATACAATGAAGCCAAATATTTATGTCTTGGCACCAAGTTTTTTTCTTCTCTTTTTGCTTATTTGAGCATTCTGGTTTTTTTTCTTCAAATTTTTAAAATAGATATATCAAAAATGATTTGCTATCATCAATGAATCAATGATTATCAATTGTTTGTAGCAGTTACAGAGTTTCTCTTTTAAAAATCCCTCTAAGAATATCAAAAAAAATGTTCACGATACTTTTTGAAAATAATTATCCATTGACAGCCATATCTCCTCTGCATTTTCATCCCACCAAATTGCTTGAAAGGGTGCTCAGATTTGGCATTGCTTATGATTCTGCAAAATACATTTAATAACTAAGCTGAAAATTAAGCTTTAAGCTGTTCAATAGCACACTTAGTATTAGTAAAATTTCATGATGGACAGCCTTAATAAATTTTAACCAACAGTAAGTCAACGCAAAGGTGACTGCTCATCCCGTGGGGCTGGTATGAAACTGAACTTAAGTATTTGTTGGAATGATCATTGCCAAACTTTTTATTTCTTCCACTTCTCTATTATATAATAGAACCTTGTGACTGCTTTCTGGTTTAAAAAAAAAAAAGAAAAGCACTACATTTTGATTCACTTAAGTTTTTATCATTTTGATCCAAATGTTTATGTTACAAAACAATGCTTTATTTTGCAATGAGTATGTAGCAGGTTTTAAAGATGATTTCAGGACAAAACACTATAGTGGGAAATATCATACCCAAAGTTATCAAATGACCTGTTCCACTTGCTGTCCATAGATTGGGATTAGTCATTCGGGCATCACCATGGAAAAAACGCTGGTCCACTAGATCCTATTTAGTATGGATTTGTAGTTAGCCAATGAAAACATAATTAATGTCAAATTCTTGTAATTTATTTACCATTGAGACTCCTTACTTTTGGAACTGTGACTTTTTACCTACTTACAGTTCGAAGGCGTTTGCCAACATGTGCTTTAATGCTTTATTTTGTGGGCTGACTTTATGTCAGACAACATAGTATCAGGTATATTTTACTTCCTCTAATGAAGGCATACTTTACTGGATTTAGTTAGTCTATTGCTTATCCACTTTTAAATGCAAATGCTGTATTCAAAATTTAAATGGCAGCTTTTGAAAAGAAAAAAAAATCATTTAAGTATCTAAAATAATTCATAAGACTATGCCCATTTGTCATTACACATTAAAATAATTCATATCACTATACATATTTGTCATAACACATTTTCGCTATATAATATGTATGGTTATTATTTCTAGTCGAGTTGATCTGGTTTGTTTTACTTTAATTTTTTCCAGTCTTAAAAGTAAAAGTATGATCAGCTCAGTTGTTGATCTGAATAAAAGAATGTGTGAATGTAAAACTTCATTTGAGCAGTTTAAACTTTTAATTTACCTGTTCACTCCAAAAAATATTTCATTGCCTATATGTTCATAATCAATATTATGCAATTTATCTTAAATCTAGAAACATCTTCAGACCATAAGCATTTGGGGTGTAGATATCAATTAGGAGTATATTTTCATGTTTTTAAGGTCCTTTGCGCCATTCTTATTATAGTACTTAAGTACTACAAAAGTCATTAAAATTTTACGTTTACTTAACCGACTTTATTCTCATTCTCCAAAAAAGATTAGAAAATGGAATGATGGTGGGAGGAAAAATCGCATGTGTACAGCACGTCCAGGATGGGCAACGATGAGCTTCAGAAGGGGTTTATACAAGGACAGTTTGCATAATATAGAAATAAATTTAATAGACATTCTTGAAGTGGATACCACAAAAAAGGTAAATGATAGATTAGAATTTGTTTGATCATTATTAGCTAAAAAATTGAATGGTTTGATAGAGACATCTCCTGACTTAACTGCAGGTCAAGTTTGTGTATTCTCTGTTTGTGCAATAAGTGACAAAGGGCATGAATCGAACAATTTCAGAAAACTGTTTCAAACTCTGTCGTCATATTTCTTATATTTGGTGGTTTAAAAGGCCAAATAAGCAATGTGACCTAGTACTATGTAGAGATGTATGTCATCACCTCAGGTCTGGAAAGATAATTATACCCAGAAATAAAAAAATTTTTTAAAAAGATACTCTTGTTTGGGAGCCACAATTTTTACCCTGCCCAAATGTTCACAGGTTTGGTATGCTCCAGACTAGCTTCTCTCCAAAGTTTCTCCTGTCTCGAACATTAAGTAAAGTCATTTTCTCTCAATGGCCTGGCCAAATATTAATTCCTTGTCCTGACTTTAAAATGGTCATTTCCCTAAGTGATATCATAGTATGCTACGCCCCTCCTTTTTGATTGGAGAAACATTAAAATTAATCTAATTTGACAACTAGTAGCTAAACAAAGAGATATGCCCTGTTGCATTATATATTTGTCACCACCACTAGGCTCTAGTATAGTGTTAAAATAAATTAAACCTTATGTGTTAATGTATCTTTGGTACACATTTTCTCTTTTCATTAAAATGAATATTTTACATATGTCATATAATCATAAACCATCTGAAGCTTTGTGTTTATTTATTAAAATGCCCCCCCACCCCCCCCCCCCCCATCATGTTTTTACCTGCGGAATCCTTTTCCATTTCAAGATTGTAAGAGTGGAACCTTTGGTGACCATGGGTCAAGTTACAGCCTGTTTAAACCCTTTAGGTTGGACCCTGCCTGTCCTCCCAGAATTGGATGACCTAACTGTTGGTGAGTTCACTATTGTATAACACACCACTAGAAATGATCCCCGGTCATAGATAGAAATGAATTTTTTTAATCAATCACTGTTCTGCTTGAATGTATACAATTTCTGAGTTTATATGTATAAATTCCACTTATTTTGTCAAAGATCTGGACACCAAGGTAGACAACAGTTGCAGTTCTTTAAAAACCTATACAAGTATAAAAGCAAACTTAAGATATCAAAACTGTGACCTACTCATCTTCAAATCAAATACCTGACAGAATACTAAGAGTTCACTTAGTAATGTGGGTTTGAACTCTTAATTTGAAGCTTAACTTCAATTATGTATTTGTTCCATTCCTTATAAGCTGCTTTGAATGTATGGTGTAAATGTGTGCATGTTCATTGTAGTGTTTTCCAGTATTTCCCCCTTCTCATCACCATGGGATGTTTTGGTAATATAACAAGTAACACTTTGCAGAAGTAAATTCATGTTTTGCCTAGTGCAAGCTGTTGCTAAGTTCATTACATCTCAAAATAGTGAAATTGGCAATTAATTTGTGTTCCATAGTCACTGATAGTCACTCTGACATTTGTTTCTTACCTACCTTTAATTTAAGTTTAATTATAGTGTAATTGTGTGTCAGTCTCAGTTTTAAATAGTATGTGAGTTTGTTGCCAAGTGACAAGATGGGGTTATTGCTACCAGTGGCTTTAATTATAAGGGCAATGGGGACCTAAAGGGTACTTTTGTGTGTGCTGTATGACCCCCGACTTTAATTGTCCCCATGATTCATCAGACCATGTTTTCTATTTTTAATTAAAACTAAAGGTGGACTGATTATGGGAGTAGGCATCGAGACGTCCTCCCACCTGTATGGATTATTTCAACACTGTTGTGTGAGCTATGAACTGGTCACAGCTGATGGTAGCTTGATCAAGTGCTCAAAGGTATTTTTTTTTACACTTTGTAATTAACTTAGTAATGTAGCTAGTTTTTTTTTTTTTTTTTATATCCGGTTTGTGTTTCTGGGAACATGAACATTTCATCTTTGTTTTGGTGTGCATGCATGAGAACAGGAAATACTTGTTTTTTGACAATGGTTACTAAATAATTTTGTTCATCCACAGTTGTTTCTATTTAATACTTGATTCTATAACACTTTTCATATTTTTAAAATATTAAAGTAAGATTGAAATGACTTATTTAAAATGACACTTTTATTGTTATAAATGATATGTTGTCTTATTGGGGGGGGGAAGTGGGGATGTAGAGGCCCTAGTATAGTTACTTTTCTTTATTCTCATGTGCTACATTTACCTTGCATGTGCTACATTTACCTTGCCGTTTGAATGGAATTTGAAGGATTTTTTGTTTCCTTTATCTATCTGAACACTTAAGAATATTGTTTTGTCTTTTCACCTAAATTAGAGTGCTACCTGATCAGGTAATATTTTAACAATCATGTTATTTTTCATTTCCAGTACACATTTTTTTAAAGACCTCAGATATCTCCAATGCTTTTTTTTTTTTTACATCTTTTTTACTACAAACAACTGTTAAATTATGCAATCAAAGTTTATGCCTTAATGTGATTTGCGTTTCTTTAGTGATCAAGCTAATTTTATTTTATGAATTAGTAAATTGCTCTGGCACTTCAAAAAGAGGTGTGGTCAGATTACCCCACCCCCCCACCCCCACCCCCAGCTCTTCAAAGTTAGTTTGTAACACTTCAGAAAAGTACTTGAAGCCTATTATAAAGCATTTAGTGCTATATTAACTGACTAGACCTTGCTTATCATATGTAAATATTGTATGCATTAGATGACACGAACATTAACTCTTAGATACATACATGTCTTTAATCAGACCCTGTCAACACATAGGCAATAGTATACATTTTTCTCCATTTAGTTTATCCTGCACTTAATGTTTAGGTTAAAATTGTTAGTATTTTCCAAAATAATCTTTTTTTTTTTAAATTGTTCCTATTTATGAATTTAATTAATTTTTTTTTTTCAAACTATCATTTGATAGACTTGTGTGTACTTCACATTATTTACTGTCTTTAAGGTAGGGTAGTTCTTTGTTCTGGCCTCAGGCTTTATTACATGGGAGTGGTTCTTCTTTTTTTTTTAATTTCTCTATCAAAATTCTGTGTAAATTATGTCTTACTAGCTACCTGTCATTGTCAGGGAACAAATACAAGTATGTTGAAAAAATAACACCCATGTTATTTGTCATTTATATCCTTATTCCCATAGTTATCCTACCAAGTAATATAGGTCCAGAAACCAGTCTACAGTTCCTATTTCATATATAATTTAATGGGTCATACAGATAACATCAGTCTGACCATGTTTTGTATACTTGCTGATAAACAAATGTGTTATTTAACTGGGAATCACTGAAGTGGTACATACTTCAAAATGTGATTTAATGAGATTTTACATTTTTTGTTAAAAAGATAAGCCAAAATGCTCTTAGAAATTGCACGTCTTGAATGGCTGCATTGGTTGGTTTCTACATATCTCTCAAGCTGCACGTCTTGAATGGCTGCATTGGTTGGTTTCTACATATCTCTCAAGCTGTGGTGTATTAGCATTTTTATGGGATCGACATTTATGATGTTGATACGAAATCAATAATGGGGTTTTAAAACAGGCTTGAAATGTGATTTGAGGTTTGGGTTTCATGAAAATACACATCTTGGTTGTTTTTTTTGTTTTTTTTTTTTGTTTTTTTGTTTTTTTTTTTGTTTTTTTTTTGAAATTACATTGAATTTTTAAATTTTAAAGAACAAAGGAACTTGCTTCTGCCTTGCTTGGGAAGTACTGTTGATCTGCTGACGTCCACCTAATTCCTACTTAAGTTCCGGGTGGCTGTGTTATAAATCCCGACCCCTGCTGTTGTTAGTATGGATTGTGCTCTAAACATCTGCTACCTGTAATCTCCATTGTAGTCAATTTCTCTTGGTGAAGCAGTTTTAAGTTCTGCTTGAAATAGTGAAGGAGCTGGAGGAAAGTTTTATTATATTTAGAATTATTTTACAATCCTACCCCCTCCCCAATCAAATTGTCTGACATAGTTGATAGTTGGGGTGCAACAACTTGATTTTGTAGCTAATGTTTTGTCAAAGGGTTTAATAGTGAGTTGGTTCTTGCTTTTTTTTTTTTTTTTTTTTTTTTTTTTTTTTTTTTTTTTTTCTTTTTTTATTTTTTTTTTTTTTTTTTTTTTTTTCTTTTTTTTGTTTTAGATTTTGTAGCTAATGTTTTGTCAAAGGGTTTAATAGTGAGTTGGTTCTTGCTTTTTTTTTTTTTTTTTTTTTTTTTTTTTTTTTTTTTTTTTCCTCTTTTTTTAATAAATTTTTTTTTTTTTTTTTTTTTTTTTTTTTTTTTTTTTTTTTTTTTTTTTTTTTTTTTTTTTTTTTTTTTTTTTTTTTTTTTTTTTTTTTTTTTTTCCTCCTCCAATTTTAAAAATACATTTCTTGCACTTTTCTTAGCTGTCACTAGTTATGAGAGACGGAAGTTGCCTATATACAATCATTTATTTTATTTAATTTTTCCAATGTAACAATCATTTTAGATTGGTGTAAAGGTTAGTTTCTTATATCTTTGGTGGTTCCTGACTGAAATGGCCTGTTTATCTGTAAATATTTTTGTTGTTTTTATTGTGCAATCCTGTTTTGAATGAATTGGGTATCTGGGCTGTTATTGTTATTGAGCAATCATGAATTAAATACCCAGGCTTCCGTTGCCCTTGGTTCTGGGTGACTGACTTCAACGGATATAATAAAGTTATGGCACTGCTTTTATTTACTGATGCATGTCAACAACAGCCTTTCAAGTGTGTGTATTCTAAGGAATAAAGTACGCTTTGGCATCACGCTCACTGGGGCGTTTCAAGTTTAATGAGGCAATGTTCATGGATGAGGTGTCACAAAATCACAAAGCGGAAATACCCATGAAACATCAACAACAGTACACACATTAACATAAAGAGTCAAACAACATTGACAGTACATACGTTAACATAGAAAATGAAAAAAATACACACAAATTAACATTGAAAATGAAAACAACTGTACACACAAACTAACATTGAAAATGAAAACAACTGTACACACAAACTAACATTGAAAATGAAAACAACTGTACACACAAACCAACATTGAAAATAAAAATAACAGTACACACAAACTAACATAGAAAATGAAAACAACAGTACAGAAATCATAGATCCCTCACATCATTGGAACAACCGCTCCTAGTCACAGCCTGCGAAATAGTATGGGCAAAGGTAAAATTAAAATACCTGAAACCCAATAAAGCGCCCGGACCTGACTATCCCGAACATTGTCCTGAAGACCCTGGCTGACAACATTGCCCCAACCATGACCCACATTTTCCAAAAGTCACTTGACTCTGGCAAACTCCCTCTAGACTGGCTTGATGCAAACATCACTAGTGCCTACAAGAAAGGTGACTGTCATAACCTAGTAAACTACCGCCCAATACCCCTGACCTCCGTTCCATGCAAAATCCTGGAACACATCATCTATCGCCACATCATGAACCACCTTGAACACTACAACATTTTGACCAACCTAAATCACGGTTACCGTTCTGGATTCTCAACGGAAACTCAATTACCATCACCACCAATGACCTCCTAGCTTCCTATGACAAAGGTACCCAGGTCGACATGGCAATTCTTGACTTCTCCAAGGCTTTCGACACTGTTCCGCACAGCCTTTTTCTACACAAGCTCCACCACTATGGCATTACATGCAATCTTCACTCATGGCTCTCAACATTCCTAACACAACATACCATGCAAGTAGTGGTGGACGGCGTCCAATCAAGGAAAGCCACCGTAGACTTAGGAGTTCCACAAGGCACAGTGCTGGGCCCCCTTCTCTTTCTCTGTCACATAAAACAACCTACCGGATACAGTAAATTCTCAAGTGCGGCTGTTCACTGATGACTGTCTTATCTACAGAGAAATAAGCAGCTACGATGACCACAACCACCTCCAAACAGATTTGAAGTGCCTTATGAATTGGGCGGACAAATGGGGCATGAAATTTAATGAAACCAAATGCTACACTATGACAATCTCCACAAAAAAAACATCAGCTCATATTTACTCACTAAACGAGACAATCCTCCAACAAGTATCCAATAGTCCATACCTTGGAATTCTCCTCTCAAATAACCTAAAATGGTCACCCCATATAAACAAAATTTAAAAAAATGCCAACTCCACCCTAGGTTTCATCTGAAGAAATCTGTGCCGCTGCCCAACTTCCTGCAAACGAAATGCCTATCTCACACTCGTCCGTCCACTACGGGAATATGGTGCGATCATCTTGGACCCGCACCTTAAGCAAGAGGTGGACAAGATGGAGCGAATTCAACATAAAGCTGTGCATTTTATCGCCAGAGACTACAAAACAACTCCTGGCTTCGTCACTGGCCTCTTGAAAAGATTTGACATTCCTTCCCGCCCCCCAACCACTTACAGACAGACGAGAGGGACTCCGCCTGATATTCTTATATAAAGTGATCATGGGACTGGTTCTCGCCATCCCAGAAGGCACATACCTCACCCCACAGAAGCCGGGTAGACTGATCAGAGCAAAACGCTCACTGAACACTGACTTCACCACTGACATTCTCATAAACAATTACACCAGAAACAATAGCAAATGCTTCAAAGTGCCTTAGTGCAACACAGTGCAGTATCAACAATCTTTCTTCCCATGCACAATAATAGCATGGAACCACCTGAATGATGCCACTGTGAAGTCGACATCAGTTGAAAGCTTCAAGGCTGCCCTGGCGTCAGTTAGGAGCTGTTAGAATAGCAACATCATATCCCCAAACCGTTGTAAAGATGCCAGTACATGGATGCAGCAACGAAACATTACCAGAACCAGAAATTAACATAGAAAAAGAAACAACAGTACACATATTAACATAGAAAATGAAAACGGCAATACACACATTGACATTGAAAATGAAACAACAGTACACAAATTAACATAATGAAACTTGAGAATGATATAAGAAATAAAATCATCCATGTAAGTAATGACATCCATTAATCAATGTCTAACTCACAAGCAGTGTCACATTGCTTTCTCCTTTTAAGTCCAAGTACCAACGTATATTTCTATTATATCAACTAGTGGCTTACAAAGGCTGATCTGTGGTGTGTTCAATAATTAATAGTGACCATTTGTATTTTCCCTTGAAGGACTTGAATCCTGATCTGTTTTATGCCGCCCCCTGGTCCCACGGGACGCTGGGTTTCCTTGTGTCGGCTGAGATAATGATTGTGCCGGCCAAGAAGTATGTCAAGATGGAGTACCACCCGGTGCACAGCCAGAAGGATTTGGTCAAGCTCTTCATGGACAAGAAAACCTACACGGACAACCAGTTCGTTGAGGCCCTTGTCTATTCTGGTGCAGAGTCTGTCTTCATGGCTGGTAACATGACCGATGATGCTGAGCCTGATAAGGTAACCTTCTAATCTATCATCTTCAGAAAGTAACATATGACCAGAGTTAGTTTGCAATTGCCTTTATTGATATCTATTGCTACATTAACATTGTTGTTAGAACATCTACTCCAATTTTATTTATTGGGGAGGGGGGGAGAGCACTTGTTAATTTTTATAATGGAACTTTTAAAATTATATCTAATCTATCCTCTGCAGAAAGTAACATATGACCAGAGTTAGTTTGCAATTGCCTTTATTGATATCTATTGCTACATTAACATTGTTGTTAGAACATCTACTCCAATTTTATTTATTGGGGGGGGGGGAGAGCACTTGTTAATTTTTATAATGGAACTTTTAAAATTATTTAGTACCACTACCACATCCATCTTTATCATATATGGTTTGGCCTGCACAACTCAAAATGTAAGGCGAGCCGTTATACTAAATGAAAAACTTGTGCGAGCCAAGAGAAAATAGGATAGAGGGAAAGCTAGTAAGAAAATAATAAGAATAAAGAATATTTCGTTCCTTAGAAGGCCGCAAGGTAGGTGCTGGCGGGCCATATGTTGTGCAGGCCTGGTTTAGATGGAAAGAGCACGCATTTCTCAAGGCTAACTTGATTGGATTATATGTTAAAGATCTTATTTCATGTTTTTCCAGATAAACTCTATTGGTAACTTTTGGAAACCTTGGTTCTACAAGCATGTTGAGAGTTTCCTGCATTCTGGCCCTGCTGTTGAGTATATCCCATTGAGACATTATTATCACAGACACACAAGGAGTATATTTTGGATGTTGGAGGTGACTCAATAATAAATTTAAGCTGCAATCAAAAGTTTTTATTGATCTGTAAACTTCCAATGGTGTAATATGCTTCCATCTCCAATTATAGTCTCAGAAACTGAAATTATAAATGAATAAATAAGGCATCTATAAAAAAAAAAAAATGTGTACATGATCATCATAATTGAGCTAAAACTCAATGCTTTGTGAAGCCTTTTTTAACACCCCTACTCTTAAATTTTCGGAGTTTTGATTATATGTCATCTTGTCAATTAGTATTTATTGTGCCAACACCACTGTGATTTTTTTTTTTTTTTTTTTTTTTTTTTTTTTTTTTTTTTTTATTTTTTTTTTTTTTATTCCATCTCCAATTATAGTCTCAGAAACTGAAATTATAAATGAATAAATAAGGCATCTATAAAAAAAAAAAAAATGTGTACATGATCATCATAATTGAGCTAAAACTCAATGCTTTGTGAAGCCTTTTTTAACACCCCTACTCTTAAATTTTCGGAGTTTTGTTTATATGTAATCTTGTCAATTATTATTTATTGTGCCAACACCATTTTTATTTTTTTTTTTTTTTTTTTTTTTTTTTTTTTTTTTGAGTAACATGTTGCTCTCGTTTCCTCAGGACATCATCCCATTTGGCAACAATCCCATCTTCCGAGCTCTCTTTGGTTGGATGGTGCCTCCTAAAGTGTCCCTGCTTAAGTTGACCCAGGGGGAGACCATCAAGAACATGTATGAGAAATATCAGGTCATTCAAGACATGTTGGTCCCAATGAAAGATCTGGGCAAGAGCTTAGATGTGTTTGACACAGAGCTCAATGTAAGCATTCTTTCTTGTTATTACAGTATAATTTATTAAATTATGCTCAAGTCTTGAAAGTAAACCGGAGGCATCATTAAATTAGAAAGAATTATTTTTTTAGAATTGATTTTATTATTTAAATGAGTTTGAGCCAGGGACTTGATAATTAAAAAGAATGTCAAACAGCAATCTTTACCAAATTTTTTATCTTTTTTTACTGTTAAATTTCACCTGAAAGTATTATCTGTCATCTTTCCTCAGCTTTATCCATTATGGATCTGTCCTTTCAAGCTGTTCAACCAACCAGGGTTGGTCCATCCTAGGGGAAGTGAAGATGAAATGTATGTTGATATTGGAGCCTATGGCACACCCAAAAACCCTGGATTCTCCACCATACCATCCACACGCAGACTGGAAGATTTTGTTGCTAAAACTAATGGGTGAGAATGAATTATACCATAGGGGGTATAAACTATGACATTTCTAAATTACTGTTCACATTATTTAGGCAGGGCATTAAAATTGAAAGATTTTCTACATTAATCAAGATTATTGACACATTAAAAATGATATAAAAATTATTACTTTGGCATGCTTTTCTAAGATAGATAACCATTAACGGAATAAAAGAAATATATTAAGCACCGTCACTGCAGAACTAATTAAAATTTTTAATTGGAGACTTCAACTTTCTAGATTTTAAAATTCTTTTTAAGTTGTAATTATTAACAGATCTAGATAATTTTCGGTTAGAAAATAATGTATTAATTCAATGTCCAACAAAGTATAATTCTTGTTATAACAGAATATTGAAAATCTGAATATACTTTAACATTCTTGGCTAAAATTTTGAAATTTCTGCGTTAAATTACAGGATTTATTTTCTTTTATGTAAGATAATGGCATCAGTAATGCTGTTCTTCCTTCATGTGCATAGATGACCAAGGCTATAATCAATGTTGCAATAGAATTTACAGATTGTCCTTTCTGTATGACAATTCTGTGCTACATTTTGTGACCATCCTTTCAGTTTGACATTTCAGCACTGTCTTTTCAGTTTTCTATAAATATTTGAGCCCAATTATCTAAGATTTTAATGAACTATGTGTATCATGGCTGCCTTTCACCAACTCCCTGCTCTACCCCCACTCCCCAACACATCCCCTGTTGGTGTACTTAATTCTTGAGTCCCTTGAGAGTCCATTTCAACCAAATTCTGATGTATATTTTTAATGCAAAATATTTTCAGTTTTCAAATGCTGTATGCAGACTCGTATCTCAGCCGCGAACAGTTTCGTGAGATGTTTGACCATAGTCTGTATGACAAGATGAGGAAGCAGCTGGATTGTGAGAGAGCTTTCCCTGAAATTTATGACAAGGTCAATCGCAAAGCCAGGACTTAAAATCAAAGCTAATTCAGACATCTAGTTTCCTGAAATATTTTTGACTTTTATCGTAGCTGAATGTAGGTTTGGATGGTAGTTTATTATTTTTTATTTTGTAGGTGAATTACCTCGCTCAGATTTAAACATTTGCAGGATAATTTTTTTCTTTGTTTTCTATTACAGTCCCAACCATGATTTTGCTTGTTCATTTATAATTTCAGCTCTCCATACTTACAGGGAACTAAGAATATAAAATTATAATTCCTTATTAGATTTTTTACATGAACTTAAAGTATAAAAATATTCACTGCAGTAGAAACTGTCTTGAAAGTCATTTGAGGAATATCAGCGAGAAAAGTGGTTATCTTCACAATAAAAATCTTTTAATTTAGTTGGTTTCCCACCAAAGATCATTTAGACCAAACGGTTTGATATCTGATCAAAAATAATGTTCTTTTCTTATGATGTTGATGTAACATATTCTGAAGCCCTCGTATTCCGAAGCCCTCATTTGTTCTCAGCATAAGACCTACTTATCTTAACTTTCAAATGGTGCTGTTACATTTAAGAGAAATCCTGCAGAGGTTTCCATGCTATACAAAATGTTCAAGGATATTTGACACTTGTTTGCTTTTTGTGTTCGTTTTTTTTAAATAAGAACATTTACTTTAAACAGTACTTACATATCAAAAAAGTTTCATTGGCGTGGGAAGCTCCATCTTTAAGGCTATCTTGATGCACCTTATATACTCGTGTATTAGTCGAGGAATTTTAGCCGTAACCTTCATTTTAAAATGCAACGTTGACTTGTTTAAGTGCTAGTTAAAATTGAATTTTGTGAAATGAAGGCAGGGCAATGTTGGGTTACTGGTATTGCTATTCTACTTAACGGAAGCTAATGCTGCTAGGTAAAATCTGTCACAGAATTTCATAGCTTCAAGTTTTAGCTGCGATTTATCCATGAGTCGTCGTATATTTTATAATTGTTGTGAAAAAAAAACTGCCCTCGACTTATAGACGAGAATATACAGTAATAAGCGTAAGATATAAAGTTTTCATTGTCAGTTCAGTTTTTAAAAAAAAATAATTAATTTATGGTCCCCTATCCTTAAGATTATTTATCTTGAACTTAAGGGTGTATATTTTCGGATGTGGCTACAACTGAATATTATATGTAATTTTAATTGACAGAGGACAAAGTGGAATGAAGATTATAATGTTTTAAATGTATTGTAATACTAGAAGCATTTAGTTGTAATTTTGTTCAACCGCTTATTAATATAACTTTCCCCTTCTGGTGTGCTTTTAACAATTAGTTTAGATTGTTATGTGACCATTTTAAGATCTTATTTTTATACTTTGTTTTATTTATTTCATTGAAAAGTTGTTATAGTCCTCTAGTACTTGCATTGTTAGAATAACATAAAAACTGGTAATTGTTTCTTTATATAAGAACCTGGATAAAAATGGCACCAATGTTATCAAATCAACCTGTACTGAACTACCTTGATGACAGAGAATCAAAATGTACTGCCATATCAAAGAAAATAAAATGTATATCTCCACAATGACATAATATTTTAGTTTAAAACTGGGTATATTATTTTTATATACTTACACACTGTGGTATTCTGTTTTGTGACATCCTTAAGTTTTAGGAGATGTATCTTGTGTGTTGGTCTCTTTGATTATAACATCAGATGTTGATCATCCGTAGGATTTGATTGACTATGCAATTTTCTGGTTGCGTTGGAGAAGACAGGGATAGTATTTATTGTTAGTGGGATAACATTCAGAGTTTTCAAATTTCTTCTCATTCATTGAAGTTAGTTAGGAGTAAAATTACTCAATATTTAATTAAATTGTTGATGTTGGCGTAAAACAATATCAGATTGTCAGAAAAACACATGTCAGCTGTGTTACCCTTACTATTGTTGGTTTGGCAAGTTTTCTGATTTGCTGGTTTTAATTTTTGGCTAAAGTAAAACTGCATTTTTACCTTCTTTTCAAGAGGATCATTCAGTTAGTTGTGAAAAATTGTGCAATGAATCTAGCTGTCAGTTGATTGATGTCATAACTATGCTACTATTGAGAAAAACATATTTCTTATAAGATGTTACAAGCCAATTTCTCAGGCTGCATCATAAAATGTTTTGTGTTTACAGTAACACATCTATTTTGAAATAGTGCTGCTTTACTTTAAAAAAATTAAATGTTGGTTATCAAATTTCATTAGCTCAGTTAACATTTTTTTTTCTTTTAAATGTTCCTTTTATGTAATTACCAACTTCAAAAATATTTTTTTAAATGAAGTAAACTTAAATTTCATTGTCATTTTTTTTAATTTTAAAATATTGTTAAAGCTTGGAAGTAATGTAATACAGATTTATAAAAAGGCATCTTTAAATGGTGAAAAAAAAATTGATAGTTTTTAACAGGCCTATATTATATATTAAAACTGTGCTAGATATAATAGGCATTTAAAAAAATTAATCCAACTTTGTCTGTCAGTAGCATTATAAGCATTTTTTTAAACTTGGAAATCATTATGTGCATTGAACATGTTAATCTGTATATGAATATGCAACTACGTTTTCTTTTAAAAATAGGGGTGCAAGGTCAAGGTGCTGAGCACAGCTGATATTCAATGTCAACAAAGTGCTATGACGCTCCCGGCTTTGTCATCTTTAATAAGTATTTTGTGTTTCAATCAAAAAGTTTGACCGATGAATTTTTTGCAGTTTCTTTTGTTGTCTTCAATGATTTTTTTTTTCTTTAAAAGTTATCAAACCTGGAATTAATAAGTGACTGGTTTTTTAAAGAGTGTATTGTGGTCATATCAATTAGCTGCCAAGGTTGCTGCTCATCATGCTGGTGTTATTTATACTCCATTGGGCTTTTTTTGTGTGTGCTCAAGGTTCGTTATACATATGTCGTATAATGACTTTTTGGCTTGGCTCTTGTATGAAGGTGTGCTACTATCATGTTGTTCCTGGCTCAGTATGAAGGGATGTTTCATTTTTATGTGAGTTACGTGATCTCAAAGTCATATCCCATCTTGATAACAAACTCATCTAACCATGCAACATCTTGAAAACAAACTCAAAACAGATGAATCATATTATCTTGATAACAAACCACTGAGCAATGTCCCTGCTCTACAGTTTTGCAATCTTTGGTAGCACTCTTCTTCCTGACGTTTTACACATATTCTTTTAATATAGTAAATCTTAAAAGGTAATATTTAAATGTATCCATATTCTATGTAAATATTTGTATGTTCAGTTTGGTCCATTTTTAGATTTCTGTTTACCTCAGAACTTTATCTCTAATTTAAAATACAATTTATACGGGCATACAACTAACTTTGACTTGAATGTAACATAATTTTATAGTCTTACAATTGACTTTAATTTAACATAAGGTGCAGACTTAGACTTTGACAGTTGTGTAATTTTATATAGACTCATATTTACTTTGACACTTATTTTTTTAATTATAAATTATAATATATATATATAGATCAGTAGACAGACAATTGATTTTGACTTTAGAATTAATGTTACTAACTCATGAGCCACATTGTACAAAATTAAATGTTATTTAGTTCAATCCATATCCGTATATTCAAACAGTCCCTCAATATAACAAATATACAAATATTTTGTGAAGTTATTTGCGTAATTTTTAAAATAGTTTACTTTCCACAGTGGACAATTTAATTTTTGAGTCATGATTTTTGAGATCAGTGATATCATTCATTTATCAACTCATGGGCATCTAAGCATGTAGTTACAGACACCCCCCAACCCCCTTCTTCTGGGTGATAATTTATGAATTTTGGGATTCAGTTGATATCATTCATCTATTTTGTCACAGGCATCCTGCGACAGATCATCCCCACCTCTCAATGAAAGACCTTAAGTTATTTTCATCCTGACCTCCTTAAAGGTTTATTTTAAAATGTAATTCACATCTCAAATCCCAACAAGGCTGCCCCATCAGTTAAAATAGTTTAAGTATTAAATTCCATTGCTAACATCTAATAGTGGTGCTTTGTATCATTTATTTTCAGGCATTTTAAATACTTACCTGGTCATCATGACTGCTGTTAGAACTGAATTACAAAATTATTTTTTTTTTACAAGTAACAATATTGCACACTGTAATATTTTAACTTTATTCACTTCTGTATATGTAGAACTGATGGCATTAATTTATATAGAACCAGCAAAACTAGTGTAACTTTGGAATGGTATTTCCCATGTTTATCTGCTTGTGTTTGAATGTATAGAGGGCCTGCATCTATTTATTATTATATTTATAACATGATTTCACATTGATATTGACTCAAGCAATAACAAAATTTAATACTGTTGAACATAATAAAAGAACATTTTTTGATGGGGGCCCGAAAAATGTTTTTATCACTCCACATATTTTACCAGGTTTTAACATTCCTCTGTGGATACCTCATTATAATATTGCCTCGAATTGACGACTGATTTTCAATTTTATGCTACAAATATTTAAGTTAATTAAAAACATGCAGTATTTTTGAAGGCTCAGTGCAAATTTAAACAGATAAATGAACACTCAAGCTAAAGATTTTTTCAGTCAAGATTTGAATAACATTAAATCAAGTTTTTGGATCACAGTTATGTCAATTTAACTTTCCTAACATTTTGGTTGTCATTCTTGCACACATTCTTCAAGGTTAACTGAACTAAACATTCAATGTTAGATTAAAGAATATTAATTGAACTTAACATCCAATGTTAGATTAAACTACATTAACTGAACTAAACATTCAAGGTTAGATTAAACTACATTAACTAAACTAAACATCCAATGTTAGATTAAACTACATTAACTGAACTAAACATTCAATGTTAGATTAAACTACATTAACTGAACTAAACATCCAATGTTAGATTAAACTACATTAACTGAACTAAACATCCAATGTTAGATTAAACTACATTAACTGAACTAAACATCCAATGTTAGATTAAACTACATTAACTGAACTAAACATCCAATTTTAGATTAAACTACATTAACTAAACTAAACATCCAATGTTAGATTAAACTACATTAACTGAAGGGATGCTCCAGGTATGAATATTTCTCAATTATTAAAAGATTTCTCAGGTTAATTTATTGTGTACGTACAGGTAAGCCTCTAGGTATAACATATCTGTGCTGCTGTAATAAAACAACAGTGTAACATAAAGTGTGATTGACTGGGTCAAATGTATCAGCTGTTTTGTAGTAGTTTTTTTTTCTGCCAACATTTTGTCTACTTTTCTATCTCACTAATACAGATTTTTCTCATTAAAAAAATGTTGTTGGTTTTTTTGTTGTTGTTGTACTTGACTTCATGTTATGTTGTTGTACTTGACTTCATGTTATGTTGTTGTACTTGACTTCATGTTATGTTGTTGTACTTGGCTCTCCAGGTTATATTCTTTTACCTGACTCCTTGTTACGTTGTTGTACTTGACTTCATGTTATGTTGTTGTACTTGGCTCTCCAGGTTATATTCTTTTACCTGACTCCATGTTATGTTGTTGTACTTGACTTCATGTTATGTTGTTGTACTTGGCTCTCCAGGTTATATTCTTTTACCTGACTCCATGTTACGTTGTTGTACTTGACTTCATGTTATGTTGTTGTACTTGACTTCATGTTATGTTGTTGTACTTGACTTCATGTTATGTTGTTGTACTTGACGTCATGTTATGTTGTTGTACTTGGCTCTCCAGGTTATGTTGTTGTACTTGACGTCATGTTATGTTGTTGTACTTGGCTCTCCAGGTTATGTTGTTGTACTTGACGTCATGTTATGTTGTTGTACTTGGCTCTCCAGGTTATATTCTTTTACCTGACTCCATGTTATGTTGTTGTACTTGACTTCATGTTATGTTGTTGTACTTGGCTCTCCAGGTTATATTCTTTTACCTGACTCCATGTTACGTTGTTGTAGTTGTACTTGACTCCATATTATTTTGTTGTACTTGGCTCCATGTTATGTTGTACAAAGCTCTCCATGTCATGTTGTACTTGACTTCGTGTTATGCTGTACTTGGCTCCATTGTGTGTTGTACTTGGCTCCATGTTATGTTGTTGTACTAAGCTCTCCATGTCATGTTGTTGTACTTGACTTCATGTTATGTTGTACTTGACTTATGTTATGTTGTACTTGGCTCCATGTTGAGTAGTACTTGACTCCACATTATGTTGCACTTGACTCCCTGTCATGTTATACTCGACTTCTTATTCCTTATTTGATAGTGTAAAACAGATTCTGTGGATTTGGTTAAAAAAAATTGTTTTAATGTATATCGAAGAGGCACTTGTAATTTATCTGAAAAAAGTTATAGTATTTTGAAATTCCAAATAATTATTTCAATTTTCAATCAATTAAATATTGGGAAATTTATACTTCATTTTTATACAATTTACACATTAATATATATAATGTTATTTTGTAGTCAACTCATGTTTTATTTACTTAACAATGGCGCCCATATACGATTTATGAAAATGGCCCGTTTTGACAACCCAAAAAATTGGAAAGAGCTTTCTCCTAAACAGTTGTTTTTCTTTTTGACTCTGGCAAAACTGAAATGTTCTATTTCTGCCCACTGCAGTCGTAGGGGGTTGCTGGGCTAACGCGATGTTTCTATGGTTGAGTGACACGTACAGTTTAAAAAACCCGGCATCTCTTCCGTTGCTCTCCAATTAAGGGTAATAAGGGGAGAGACTGCAATCAGGTTTGCACACTATAAAATGAGTAAAACAAAGTAAGGGTTGAAACTGAAAAAAGGGACGCAACTAAACAACGAACGTGTCGGCTGGAAGCCTTCGTCAGCGAACAAAACAACAGAAAAAAACAGTATTTAAAAAAAATAGCACTTAGCTTAGAAGTAGTATTCGTGGGCAGAAAATTTCTGTATATACATGATGTGCAGGTACTTCCGGAGAAATAGAAATAATATTTCTTTTAAAATATTAGTTATTAAGAGCAAATTTTAAAAATGAAACTAGACTCAACTTTTTACCTTAAGTACTTTTTGAGCTACGAATTTTTAAAGTGTGTGTTCGTTTGGTATTTTCTACTATGGACGAACCTCATTCTGTGACCTCATGCTGCTGATCGCGTCATGCGCAATGACTATATAGTTTATATATAAGGCAACGCATTCCCTTATTACTGAAATACTATTTAGGGC